TTTTTTTTTTTTTTGCTCATATATTACAAGGAATTCTCTGGAGTGCTTTTTCTGTACTTTGTTCCATGTGTGTGTGTGTGTGTGTGTGGGGGGGGGGGTAAGCTTACAATTTCACCTCTGCCCATTCTAGTGACATCACCAGATCACCAGCCACACTCCAGCTTTTCTGGCTAAAGATCTGAAAAAAATTAATGTGGAGAAAAAATGCCTTGTGCTGATGTAGTAGGAGGGTAATTCTGTAACAAGTTTTTTTTTTTTTTAAACTGAGGCAAAGCATCCTAATTTCCTTTGATATGTTACCTAATTATTATTGGTAGGTCAGTTTAGAATCAATAACAACATTCCCTAAGTTGGTGTCTCCCAGATGTTCTGGAATTATAACTGCCCAACTTTCCAAATTGAGTTCTATCTGGGAATGAACTCCACTTCATCTGTAAAACATCAGGCTGGGAACGAAGAAAAGTTGCTACATACCATGTGCTTACATCTGATTGTGCAGAAGAATAATTGACTTTAAGGCTTTTTATTCTTTTTTGCAGATAAATTAAGTCTCAAAGGGAAACCAGACTATTGTACTTGATTTGTATTTCAACAGAATAAATTTGTACTTCTCGGGCCCACAAATCCCATGCCTCATATCCTGTTGCATTATGCATCAGGACAGAAGAACATAAGGGTGGGATTGTGTTATATGTCATATGTCACTCTGGTTTTATCTTCTTGTGGCTTTCCACGGATGCTGCCATTATGTAATGTTGCCTGAAGCTCTGGTTTTGCTGTTCAAAACATTTGTACCGGAATAGTACCAACCGTCTTTGCTGGGCACAAGCTATGCTGCGTGTATATTTTCAGTTACATTCTAGCACATATTATATCAGGATCACTTCAAATGGTTTGGGAAAGCATTTGTTGGCCAAAGCTAATTTTGACAAAAAAGGTTGCACTTGAACATCTTCAAGCAAAAAAGGTATATACTCAAGAGATATCAAAATGCCTTTAAAAGCTACTGTCCTAGTATCTTAAAATGGTGTGTCTATTTGCTTTCTTGTCCTGTTGCTTCAGCATCTACTTTATTTATTTATTTGTCAAGTTTACATGGCTGCCTATCTCACAAACAAATGACTCTGGGTAGTGTACAACAAGACTAAAAACAATATATAAAAACATATCATCATCATTATTATTATTATTATTATTATTATTATTATTATTATTATTATTATAAACTTTAAAAAACAAGGCTAAAAGAGAATAGATATTAGGATAAGAGCAGAAGTTACTAACAATGGAGCCACCTCAGTATCTTACCAGTCCCCTGGGGTCCCCAGGCCTGATGGCACAACCAGGATTTAAGGAAAATCAACAGGGATGGAGCCAGCCTCACTTCAAGGGGAGAGGATGTTCCATAAAGTGGGTGCTAGGGCAGAAAAAGCCTGCTCCCTGGGACCCTGCCAAGTATAGCTCCCTAGCTGACGGGACCCGTAACGTACCCTTTCTGCTGGAACTGGTGAGACAGGCAGATGTAACTGGGGAAAGGCAGTCCCTCAAATAACCTGTCTCCATGCCATGTAGGGCTTTAAAGGTCAAAACCAGCACCTTGAATTGGACCTGGAAACAGAGTGGTAACCAATGCAGTTCATGGAGCAGAGATGTGTTTTGTTTTACATAACTGCCCATGCTGCTGCATTTTGCACCAGCTGAAGTTTCTGGATACTCTTCAAGGGCGGCCCCATATAGAGCACATTACATTAATTCAACCAGGAGGTGACTAGGACATGAGTGACCATGAGCAGAGCCCCTTGATCTAGGAACAGGCACAACTGGTGCACAGTACAAAGTTGTGCAAAGGCCCTCCTAGGGCTTCCTCGTCTTCAGAACATGATCCAAATTAATAAAAGGACCACATAGAAAATGTAATGACACCAAGCTGCCATTTTTTAAAAAATTATATCTCTTTGAATTGATCTTACCTAAAAGGAAAGGAAAGAGGGATTGCATTCCACGTTACCAAAGCAAGATTGATTATGCTTCTTATTTTGCCATACAACACTAATAGTTTCAACTTCACCCTTGTCAAGCATTAATCTTGGTTCATATCAAAGTGGCTGCGAATCCATGCTGGAGGATTGGGGGTGAGGAAGAAATGACACAATGCATTTTGATACTCTTTCAGATGCAGACTCTAATGGTGATGGGTTCCATTTGCCCTGCATTAGTGACACTAGGTTAAAACAACATCATTCTATTCTGCTATTTTTAGTCAACAGTGGCAGAGTTACTGCTGTAGCAACTGGCAATTCATTCTCTGGTTCTATACCACTTCACTTGTTTTAGTTCCATCAGAAGTGTTATAATTTTATTTAAATAATGACTTTGGATAGAAAATATTTTTCCTTTACTGTAGAAAAGCCAATTTGGTGTAGTAATTAAGGTGCTCAACCAGGAGACTGTGAGTTCTAGTCCTCCTTAGGCATGGAAGCCAGTTGGGTGATTTTGGGCCAGTCACTCTCTCAGCCCAATCTACCTCACAGGGTTGTTGTTGTGGGGAAAATAGGAGGTAGGAACATTATATACACTGCCCTGAGTTGTATAAAATAAAGCTGGGTTAGAAATCAAATTAAGAAAAAAGAAAAATAAATAAATTTATAGTCATATAACTAAAAACAAGCATGTCACTTGTATTACGTCTTGTTTAGTTTCCACACTTGAAAAATCTTACAGATGTTTGGTAGAAAAAAAATAGGCAAATCCTCTCCACCAGTCATACAAAATAAAAACAAAGCAAGGCATTTTAAATAAATACCACCACAATACCAATAATGGCAATAATTAAACAGAGGTAGACCTGTAATAGCAGCCACATCTTTTTAACTTTTGCAGAACATGTGATTTGGATCAAAAGCTTCTTTTTATGGAACTGTATGGTGAAGACGCATTTGTTTCTACAGAGCACTGCAAGAAATAGCACAGAAACTACCCCAAATGATGGCTCCTATGACTGGCAAGATGATGATGATGATGATGATGATGATGATGTTGTTCTTTTTCATATAAGAACATTAGCAGCCACCAGAGTGCAATGGATAACACGTTTTACTACATGGCAACACAATGAGCTATAAATTTATGCTGGAGAGCTTAATCTGTTCACTTGGCTAGATTGGTTAATCTATTTCACAAGGTTGAGATGACGATGAATTGCAGTCTCATGCATTATGAGGGTCTTTTGGTGGAAGGACAGAATACAACCGTTTATTTACTAAATGTATGTCTTTGTCTTCCTGCCCAAAATAAAGCTAAAGGACACAACTATAATTAAAACCTAATTCAAAACATGCCAATTAAAACACACACGTACACACACACACACACACACCTGACCTCCAATCAATTAAAACATCCTTGATTTTAGAAACAAAATCAAAGGTCAAAGTCCTGCCTGAATAATAATTATTGTGTTTATAGGTAGAACAACAGCCCAGAAGGAAAACTAGCCCAACCTCTTTGGCAAAGAATTGCGAAACCTAGGAAGAGCCACCAAGAAACCTCCACTCCCATGTATACCAATTATTCCCTGTATAATGGGAAGGAGAAAAGAACCTTTGCTGAAAGCCTGAAGGTCATGAGAGGTTCATACAGGAAAATGGTCCTTCAAACGTAAAAAGTGGTGCCTTGTCTTTTAAGCCTGTCACATAGCAAAATAAGTGCCCAGTGTCTTGTTACTCACTTTTCATTTATTTTTCCTACACTGAGATACCATTTCTATTTTTTTTTTTTAAAGCACCTTGGGTAAAACAGGAGGATTTGTGGAAGTTGCATGAAAGAAATCAGGGAAGAAGAATACACAAATCCATTCTTTCAAGCCTCATTCAGATGTTTATTTAGTTCCCACAGATATTTTTCAAGGTGAGAAAGAAAATCTGGAAGAGATAGCACTGGCCTGATTGCCTCCTTCTGCATAAAAGTTTGGTTTATAATCTGTGGTTGTCTTGTTCTCTATTTACTATGTGCATATAGAAGAATCAGAGGGTCAAAGGTCAAAGTCCTTTGTGGGACCCAGAGGCAGGTATGTGGGACAGTTGAGGGGACATATAAGACAGTGATGCACATAAAAAATGGTAGAGCTTCAATGATACCATCGTGGCCACCATCCTGACTTTTTTTTACCATATCCTATGGACGCCCATGGCCTGAGATGCCAAGAGTCAGAGATGGGATGAAAAGTAAAGGAACAAGAAGAGCAGGCAGGATAGGTACAAGATAGAGGAGAAGAGATAATAACTCAGAAAGGCAGAGATTTTAACTCAGTTTTGTAGAACCTTACAGAGGATTGTTTTTGCAAGGATTTACTTGTCAAAATATTGGCTGCTGGATATTTATTTTAAATGTTTTAATCCAAGTCTCCAATTTTGCATGGAACAAATCTATGTAATTTCATCTGGTTGGTTCCTTTTGCTATACAGATAGTCCTCAGTTAACCATTGCCCTGTTAATGACCATTTGAAGCTACAGCAGCGCTGAAAAAAATGACTTTACGACCGGTCCTCGAAATTACGGCCATTGCAGTG